CTCCCCAGTGACTTAGTATTACAGCCCAGTGAGTATGAGCATCAGAGGAGTAGATGAAAAAGCCTCCTTGATTTAGTGCATGTCCTTCAAACTGCTGCTCATGAAATCATTTTAGAAGGCCTGAACAGACATTTTAAAAATGGAATATGATAAAGTGTAGTAGAAAATATTAGGGGACATTGTACAGATCCTTAGCAAAACCAAGTACCGTTTAAGAAGTGCCACAACTCATTGCCATTAGTGGGAGGAGGGAGAAGGCAGGACAGGGCTGAATGGATCTACACATTGGCTGGGATGGAGTTGCTTTTATCTTCTGCTTACTGCCATTCTGCTGTTTGTGACACAAGAGCTGACAGTATCCAGGTTATTTTATATTGACATAATTTGCAATTGGTTGTAAAACGAAGCGGGCAGGAAGTTTTTATCTTGCTTTCAGCACAAGTGTTAAGACTTTCAACTGAGTTTTGTTTGTAAACATTTGGTAGTTTGATAGTTGTTACGATTTATAATATGTTATTCGATTAGTTTCCTTTTGTTATCACAACAAATAACTACAAATTTAGAGGCTTTAAAGAGCTTTATACATTTATTATTTTACAGTTCTGTAGGTTAGAAGTCTGACCAGTTTCATTAGGGCTAAAATCAAGGTGTCAGCAGGACTGCATTCCTGTCTGCAGTCTGTCCTTGCCTTTTCCAGCTTCTAGAGGCTGCCCACATTTACTTCTTCCTTCAGCTTCAAAGCCAGCAACATCGAATTTCTTTGGCTTTTCTGCAATAGTCACATCTCCTCTGACTGAAGTCTGGAAAAGTTCTCCTCTTTTTTTTTTTTTTTTTAGATTTTTACTTCTTTGAGAGAGAAAACAAGCAGAGGGGAGGGGTAGAGGGAGAGGGAGAAGCGGGGAGCCCAACATGTGGGGCTCGATCCCAGGACTCTGAGATCATGACCTGAGCCTAAGGCAGATACTTAACCGACTGAGCCACCCAGGTGCCCCCAAATTTCTCCTCTTTTAGTGACTTGTAGGATTTCATTGGGCCCACCCAGAAAGTCCAAGATCATTTCCCCATCTCAAGGTCCTTAACCTCAAACACATCTAAAGAATCCATTTTGCCATGGAAGGAAGCATAGTTATAGGTTCTGGGCATTAGGATACAGACATCTTTGGGGGGACATTTTTTTGTCTGCCATAGTTGTCTATATTGACTCTTGCTTCCAAAATATTTTTCTTGTACTATTGTGTAAGAAAATCAGTTGATTTAAGGAAAAATCATAGCAAAATATGTTTGGATGTGACAAAAATAATGACAATGGCATTCACGTGACTAAAGGAATACTGGGAAATACACTTCTCCTGACAGCCCAATACCAGAAGAGAGTACAGACCAGAGAGACAGTGGACCCACCCATATTCCAGATATTCCAGAACATTCTGCCACAACCTGCTGGCTCAGTCCAGTGTTCTCAGCCACGTGGGTTCACTTTCCTCATCCTGAAGCAGGGATCCTACCAGACAGTCTCCAAAGGTCCTTCCAGCTCCAACTTACTAATTCTAAGTAAATGGTTATGTTATGAATTTAAATGTCAGGGTTAAGCATATTGTGAAATAATCTAAATACCGTGAAATATTCAAAACATTAAAACACTGCTTCTATTTTAAATGCTTACTTCCCCAAATGTAGTTGTCAAGACCAAAATGTCAGGTCTTGGCTGATTATTTAAATGATTGCTATCATACTTGGAATTGTCTTGCCAGAGTTTTTCTCTTTTGGGGTTGTTTTTAATAAATACCATTTTGAGTTGGTGAATGCTCGTTATCCACTGCACTTATCAAACAATTGTGGATTCTTTGAGTACATTTCCTGAATTTAGTCAAATAGAGGGTATTGGGCAGGTAGAGGGAGAAGCCCCCCCACCCCATTAGGTAGACATTTGAAAGGGTCAGTGATTCTTCAAGTGCACACTTACATTAAAAATATTTAACTTAAGGGGAGAGATACCTGTACTATTCTTGAGATAATAATTGGGTCAATTCTAGTAATTCTTAATGACTTTCTGTTCTTTTAATTAAAACTACATACTAAAGAGGTATTTTATTCCTTTCTCTGCTAAGAAAAATTTCAAGCTCAATATTACATTCCCTAAAATAAAATCAATTTTGTCCTGAAATACAGCTTTAAAAACTCTGACAGCCTATGTTCTTTGATTATCTCATAAATAACAGTTTCATATCACCTTCCTCCTCCCCCCTACCCCTGTCTCACTTTGTGCCAATCACAGGTGGATGCTCAGTATCACCCCACAGCACAAGATAAATAAGCTTGGAAGGTTTCCTAGCAACATATTGTTCTGGGAACCTGCTCAGTTTCCCTGAACAAGATGAAGCCAAACATCCTAGAATCTCAGCCAGATGGGAAAGGATTAGCTTATTGAGGGTGTTTAATGCATTTTTTAAAAATTTCACATTGAAATGAACCTCTTAACATAAGTAGCAAAACTGACTTTTCAAAGGACACTTTTTTACATGAAAAAAAATTCTGTAACACTTTGAATTTTAAAAATGTGGTTTTAGAAGAAATTTTCTAGAAATAAGCTTGCAATTTGTAATCAGTCATTGGTAAATGGGTCCATTTTAGGACCAGTAGAAAATACTTCCACATAGGACTGATGTTCAGCTTGGTGTACCCCTCAGTACCCGTGCTCATTTGCAGAGATGCTGACACACTTCCGATCTTGTGGGTAAATGGCTGCTGCACAGCACTGTCCTCACAGTACTCACTTCTCCCCTGGATCCTGTTCCTAGGAATGCCTTGGAAACACCTGTTCTTGCTTAGAACTGAGACTTTTTCCCTTTGTCCTAAACTCTGGGCTACTTCAGTGCCAGGGACTCACCACTTCATCTTAAGAGTGTTTTTGGTTTTTGGAGTGTATGATTAATACATATGGAGAAAAGACAGCTAGAGGAAATTGAGGCCCCCAATTAAAGTCAGGAAGAAATAATGTTGTTGCTGCTGTCTTTTTGGCACATGACCACGTGTATTTTCCTGGTCTGTCTGATGGTCTTGGGGCCAAAGGGTGGGCAGGTGGTGCCTTCCTGTCTTTTGCACTCTGGTTCATCACAGTGTACTGTTGAAGGTCTCTGGAGATGGAGTAATGAAAAATTAGTTTCTCATGACCGTATTCAGCAGTGGTTTTGCAATTCAGTTACACTCTGAAAATTGTCCTTAACTTCTTGTTTCACTGGGGAAGCTCCCCCAACAGCCAGATGGATATTGTCATCATGTGGTTGTGGAATGATTTCCACTGTCTCCAGTTTGGACTGAGTTTGTGAAATTTCCCAATTGTGGTGAGAAGCAGGTAATTCCAGTATTTGAGAATGCTCCTGGATGGAAGAACAGTCATTAGAATACAATGGGGCATGACACATGGCGTCTTTGCTTTTTATTTAACAGATTCTCTGGCCAGATTCTCACACACATATTACATGTTTTCTAAATACCATATTTTGAACTCAACAAGAAACAGTCTGCTGAGAGCCTCCTATGGGCCAACAACTTAGGTAGGTCTCATGACAGTGGTTACTAAGGAGCATCAACACATCATTTTGCCTTCAAGTCCCCAAGAATCCAGCAAAATAGCACATCTGTTGTCTTTTAAAAAGTTAGATAAGCTTTTTCCTCATTTCAGGTCACTTTAGCACCTAAACATCAAATAAAGATTTTGATGTTGAAAGGAATTCTGTAATTTTGATTGTCCAAGGAAAGTCTAAAAGTCATATGGAACATAGATGATAATACATTAATTTTATTGAATACTTTAAAAAAAAAAAACTTCCAGGAAACAGGCAATATTTTAGATTCTTTGCCTGTGTTAACAGCATTTAATTCTCCTGACAGCCATTATGAAGCGGAAATCTGTTTGCCAGCCATTTTACAGATGAAGAAACTCAGACCAAGAGAGGTTAAATACTGGTTTGCCAAGAGGTTTAATAGTTAATAAAAGAAAACAATAGTAGGCATTCAGACCCTGATCTATCTAGGGCCAAATTCTGTGACCTTTATTCTGTGTTATGCTTATTTCTCTATTTTTAGAATTCTAAGATTCTGTAAGTCCTAGTCCTTTTTTTTTTTTTTTCGGAGAAGAGTAGACTACTGTCTTTTAAAGATGACACAATTTTAGTAAAAAATAGATGAGTTGTTTAGATGATGTTCTGTTATTTCACACAGCACAACGATTCTGTTTTTGTTGGGAGTTTTTAGTGACAGACTTTAGAATCTTCTTTCTCTCGGGTACAATATATTGACTTTATTTAAAAATATTCTTTGTTGGGCGCCTGGGTGGCTCAGTTGTTAAGCATCTGCCTTCAGCTCAGGTCATGATTCCAGGGTCCTGGGATCGAGCCCCGCATCGGACTCTCTGCTCCGCGGGAAGCCTGCTTCTCCCTCTCCCACTCCCCCTGCTTGTGTTCCCTCTCTCGCTTTGTCTCTCTCTGATAAATAAATAAAATCTTTAAAAAAAAAAAAATTCTTTGTTGCTCAGTTTTTTACCTTTATAAAACAGTTTTCCTTTTCAGTATGGTAGAAGGCTATGCATGAATTTTACTGAGAAGTAGTTAGAATTAATAGCACTATTAAATGCATTTACAAAAAACAGTTATGACATAACCATGTTGCAGCACAGAAATGAATGTTTGTAAATAAAGTTTCGTTGGAACATGGCCACTCTTGTTTGTTTACATATCACTGATGACAGCCGTTTCTCTGAGGTGACAATAGAGTGGAGTGACTTTGACCCAGACTGTGGGGCCCCCAAAGCCTAAAATATACTATGTAGGCCTTGACAGAAAAAGTTTACAGACCCTTCCTCTCAGATCTAGACTTTCCCCCCCTACTTTGAGTTGGGTGTGTGCCATTAGAATGCCAGAGACTTAATTGGGAACCAACATCAGAAAACGTTTTCCTAAATCATGTCCTTGTCTAACATGCTTTTCTTCTGATCCCTGTAGGTACCAACCAAGAAACTGAAGAAATATGAGAAAGAATATCAGACAATGCGAGAGAGTCAGCTGCAGCAGGAAGATCCAATGGATAGATACAAGGTAGGGGAGGCGTGGGTCACCCATGAGAGCAAAGTGCCTTCTGTACCCTAAAGGAGCACTAGTGACCAGTTCAGCTCCCTCAGTTTCTTCTTGATTGACTTAGACGCTCTCTGACCATGATAAATGTCCAGGTATGTTTTCATTTCAGGAAACTCTGGCGTAGCCAACCATAATATTTCTTTTCTTTCAGTTTGTATATTTGTAGGTAACTCCACCTGTTGCATTTATACTTGGAATCTTCATAAGAAGCTGAGAGAAAGAGAGGGAAAAAGAAAGAGAGAAAGTGGCTATCGACTACTTTCAAAAATGAGAGAACAAGGAAAGTGGCAGAGGACTGTGTTAGCTGTGCATGGTCACGTCCACAAAGACTTGTAGAAGGTGAACTCTTCCAAGCCGGGCACAAGAATGTTTCAGACTTTCCTCTGTCTGTAGCAACTGTTAAACATACAAACTCATTTGGAAGGAAAAATAAAACCCGCAAAGGTTAACAGAGCATAGTAACGGTGTTTGTTGCAACATTTATTTCCACAAATCTGAGTAACAGTGACATTTCACTACAGTATCCAGTTTCAGAATCAAAGCTGATTTCAGCTTAATAGCTTAGTTAATTGTAGTATTTGTAAAAAAATTGGGCCATTCACATCAATAGATCTCTTCAGTGATAGTTAGCAACACTGTTCCCATGATGCAGTGCTGGGGAAACACTGATTTCGAACTTATTTTCTCCAGCTGACATACTATCGTCTCTCTTGAACATGTTTTAATTCCTCAGATTCCTACAGGTGCATCATGGTTCCCTCCTGCTTCATGTCAGTAACCCTGGGATTAGGGAATATTGTATTTTCACACCGAGCACCACCAATGCCAACATACCCTTCCAGGAAAAGTACTGGGGCAGCGTTGTTAATGAGCCCCCACCGCGGGATGACGACCACTTCTGTAACTCGAGCTGCCCTCACGTGGTCAGAGAAGTTTCCAGGGGCAGCTGGAGTCACAGTCCCTCTTATTTCCGCTGCTGACCGGAGCGGGGCGTGGCAGTAGTAGATGGGTGATGTGGTCAGACCTGAGTTCAAATCCTGGCTTTCCAGGAAAAAAAAAAAAAAGCACAGGATTTGTTATCCCCATCGGGGGGTCTTAATAACTCTTGTCGCATTGTTCTGCATCCCGGGCTCGTTAGCGAGCTGCTTCCTGGTCTGTAAAACATGCAGGAGCTTACTCATCTTACAGGGCTTCTGAGGACGTTGTGTGCTAAGTACCTAGCACATAGCTGGTGTTCAGTAAATGGTTGTTATTAGCCTTAGTAGGCCAACGGCCTGCCCTTACCCAGGTATTATTACCAGAATAGCATCCCCTCGCGTGGATCTGCCCTACCAGTCCCCTCGCTTATCTTCCTCACATTTCTCCCAAGGTTGCTCCCCAGCAGCCTGACAGCAGTATGTTTCTCCCCTTGTTTATAGAACGGGGTAAAGAACTGAGAAGAGGGGCGCCTGGGTGGCTCAGTCATTAAGCGTCTGCCTTCGGCTCAGGTCATGATGCCAGGGTCCTGGGATCGAGCCCCGCATCGGGCTCCCTGCTCGGCGGGAAGCCTGCTTCTCCCTCTCCCACTCCCCCTGCTTGTGTTCCCTCTCTCACTGTGTCTCTGTTGAATAAATAAATAAAATCTTAAAAAAAAAAAAAAAACTGAGAAGAAGAGCCCATGTACTGCTCGGGTAGATACCTATTAACCCACAAGGCACTCACAGAATAAGGTTTGAAGCTCATTTCCACCACTACCACCCCCCTCAATAAAACCAATTTTAATGTAGCTCATGTCACATGCTGCTTTAGAATGGCTTGAAGCAGTAATTTTAAAATAATCTTAAGGATCCCAAATGAAGCCCTCCTACTGCTTATATGATCATTCTAATTTTCTTAGTTGCCATCATTACAAATAAAATCTGGGAAGATTACTTTAAAATAGAGGAAAAGGCAACAAAAGACTAAAATTGTATATTTAAAATCAGTCTGGGACTGAACTTGGTACTGTTTCTTAAATCCTTTTCGTATCAAAGTAGATATGTATAAATAGTACAGTGCATATTATTTTTTGAAGAGTACTTCTCACATGTAAGACTTTCAATGTGTGCACATTTTACTGAGGGACCAAAGTAGAATTAAACTTTTTTTGTTTTGTTTTGTTTTGAAAACATATACTCCTTTTAACTTATGCATATCAGATATGCTCTGTAGCTATTTCTTTTGTATTATTGTAATAGCTTGTCAATACATCTAACTAATATTTCTATACCCTTTTAATGTCTAGATATTTATATTGGCGATATACTTGGTAAAGTTACAGTCCTCAAATTACAATTACACTTTCAAGGTGACAGTTGACAAAATAGTTTCCAACCATCCCCAGACTTATTCTTTCAGATAGTCAATATCTAGTTTAAGAAACTAATTATAATGACCTTAAAGTAGGAAAGAAATACCTCTTAGTCTCTTCTAAATTTAATTGTGTCAAGAATAAGATCTATGTCCCTGGAATGAGCACTTTATAATTTGTAGATCTTGGACTGGGAACCTAGTTGTGCAAATTCTTAAGAACAACTTGGGAAGACCTCCGTGGGCATCAACTCAGAACTTATGCCAGTTCATTAACAAGCCCTCCTCAACCATGAAGGTCCATACTGCTTAAAATGCCATGTTTCCCCCCTAGGAGTTAGGAGAGTTGTGTCAGTTTTTTTTTGAAGGCCCAGAAATGTCATACAATAAAATATCCTAAGAGATTTTTCGGTTTGATGCTGTTTCCCTTGGCATACAAAAAGGACTCTCACATGGAAGCCAGAGGTGGGGTGAAAGACCCAGCGATTCAGAGGCAGCCCTCAGCCATCCCATTCTTGCTGTATCTATCCAAATATGTGTTTTATTTTTATGACAGATGCCATTATCTACATTTTCAAGTGATGTCACTATACTCACCCGTATCTAACACTTAAATCTCAACCACAAAGAAAGAGATGAATTATGTTGGTATAAATTTAAATTTTAGAACCTAAACACAAAAACGTTCTGGAACTAGATAGTGGCAACGGTCGCACAACTTCGTGAATATACTAAAACCACTGAATTGTACATTTTAAAAAGATGAATTTTTTAGTATGTGAATTATATGTCAAAAAAAAAAAATCCAAGCAAAATGTTTCAAGAGGATTGGCATCCAGCCCACCATCTTCTTTTCATAAATCCCAAGTCACATGAGAGGTGCCTGTGCAGAAGCCATATTTGTGGGAGGGAGACCTTCCGTCAAATCTGGAGCTAATTAATGATTAAAAATCCTATGTGTATACATATTTATAGGGGAAAGGCCAGCATAAGTGGGTGGTACATTCATTTTCATATATAAATATGGGTGCACACAAACATATATAAATATGTGTACTCACTGGGTTACCTGGTCTTGGCTTCAGTTTGCATTTGAAAATCAGCTCTATAATGACTTCTTACAGTATTTGGTGTGCTCTTTCTGCTGATCTTGATGACTAGGTTGCAAGACAGAAAAAGGAAACTTTATTGGAAGAAGAATATAGAACATTTATTCTAAGTCTCTTTTATTGTCCTTCTTAAGTTTGACTTGGCCAACTTGGTGTTGGAGTTTTTATCTACTTGATACTTTGGCTTGTAAATTAATTTATTCCAAATGAAGTGAAATTCAGGATAAGGATTTGTCTATAGAAATCCATCACGTATATTTCCATTTTCATACAAGCCCCCAGAAAACAATCATTCATGAATATGTGTAGCTGTTTGAGTGTATTTTAAAAATTAATAGCCAAGCCCCTAATAAGTAGTTACCAACTCAGAAACTGTAATGCTGTTTTTTGTTTTAAGGAGTTGAGTTGTTTCCATTTAGGGAAAGATAGTTTTCTAATAATGTAATCTATTGACAGCACCTTTTAGAGAACTGCAGCCTTCATCTACCTCTGGAATATGGTATGCTTTTCTTATTTAATTAACTACTTGTACAGTTGTGGGGGAAGCCTTAGTACAGCTAATTAATTAATTCAGTGAGTCTTCCAAAGCATAATGAAGATTATGTTATTGCCTGTTCTAGATGGGCAAATCCTAGAAAGAATCAGGAATGCTTAAACTCTCTTTTGAGTTTGGGACACAGATAGTATTATACATCATTTCTAATTGAAGTATCTTATCTACATTTAGTATAATTAAATTTAGAATGTTTAATTTCTTTCATGAGGTTAGAAGTAGTAATTCTCTTATCAAAGTGTAATTCAAACAGGAAGAAAATAATTCCTCTAAGTTTACAAAAAGTTTGTCTCACACATACTAATTTTTGTAGAGCAATTATCCCTGCATGTAATTTCAAAATTAAGCTATCTAATTATACTTGGCAAAAACAATGCAAACTGGTCTAAGTTATTTCATTAGCTATGGAAGGATGGCAAATAATACAAGTTCAATTAAGCTTTGTTTCAAAATATTTATCACATTTTGTTTTTAACTTGTCAAGTGAAGTTTAAATTTTGCTAATCTTACCTGAAAGAAAAAAAAAAGGCTTCCCTTTTTTCTTACTGTGTGGGGCCTTTCCTTCCTCAGGAAGTCAAGATAAGTGAATCCGTCTTTGAAAAGTCTTTTTCTACCAATGAAAATACTTATATTTTATTAATTTTCCTCATCACAGAGACTGTCATTGGTTTTTGGAAATATTTATATTTATGAAATAATGTGCTTTTAATGAATACTAACAGTCAAGAGCATGGTTTCTATCTGCCTGTGATAACTTTGTGATAGACCTCAGAAGGCTGCCACTCTTTTTGAGCATGGATAATCCAATGAACTCACTGTTCTAAGATGGTGGAAATTGCAAGCTAACCCTTACTGAGGATTCTTGAGCAAATTAGCTGAGAAGGAGCAGGTGGTTTCTGATGATTCCTGTTCACTGATTGAGTTTTACTTAACGCTTGAGAGAGGTATGAATGTTATGCATATTAAGAATT